GTTCATCAGTGGGTTGGTAGTGAAGGTATAAAAAAGATGAGAGAAAATGAAACTCACGGCTTTTGATTGGGTGTCTTCATGCATCTTTAACACCACTACAACCCACTCCACACGCAACCCACTAACCTATGGGGCGGTGTTCACCAGTGGATTGGTGTGCCAAGATGCCACATAGGAAACTCACGCTTGATTACATTCCCACACCGGATAGCCTTATATTTCCACGTACAACCCAAAAGTTTCATTTCGATTTCCAGCTTTTGTGAACCTCTTAATCGAATGTTTGACCAAATTCTCTGCATTTTCCCTCTTATTCACGGATAAACGTGCTGATGAGATAACGTTTGCAGTTTTTGGCCATCTAGGAGTCGCGAGTTTCTAGAACATTCGAACAAACACCACCAATACCACACCATGATGTCTTCTTACCCTTTCCTTCTTCCTTGCTCCATCTTTCTCGCCTTCGTCGGAGCTTTCTTCTCCTCCCCGCCGCCACCAACCTATCTCCTCCTTCATTAACCTAAAACCCAGACTAATCCTTCACCTCTGTCGTCGCAACCCCTTCAACATGTGTGAACGACCTCGCTAGGGTTTAAAGCCGCCTCTGATGCATCAGCAGCAACAATCTCCGGCAGAGCCCCATCACCATGTCCACCACATCACCTTTCTGCCAACCAATTTCTCTTTGCCCATCGCTTCCTTCAACAGCCAGAGCTAAGTCTAAAGTATATAACACCAATAGTTCACTTACTGGAACCGCTCGCCTTTTAGCATCTTCGTTTTCTTCAAGGTGTTTGAGAAATGTAAGTTGAAACTCACAAATTTTAATCTATTAATTAAATCCTGATCGGAACTGATGTAGTGTATATTGGTTTTCTCTATGAACCATAAATATAATCCAAACCATGACTCGATTTGTAGTAGCAAGAAACATACTTACCATTGACTTAATGAACCATAAATATATTGGTTTTCTCAATGAACCATAAATATAATCCAAACCATATTGAATGTATTCATAGTCTGTTCAACATATTTCTTCTGAGACAAATATGTTTGCGTAATAACTTAACTCCATGAAACAAGAAACATACTTACCATTGACTTAATGACTTCTTAAGATCAGATATAAGATGCAAACCCAAGTATGATTATAATAAGAAACCTCTGTAGCAGTAAGCTTCAATAAAATTTTAATAAAGGTCAAGTCCATTAAACTCAAAATAGGGATTATTAGGGGTAACAAAGATACTAACTCTAACCTACTTCCAGGGACATGCTCTTTTTCATAGCTTTTATCTTCACTTAGCACATGTTTAAACGAAATGGTGGGAGATGCTCTAAAATGTGCTAGTCAACCACCCATGACTCATGCGAATAGATGAAAGTTGAAAAATGATCATGCTTTAAACTAAAAGAATATATCTCTTCAAGAGATAGTACTTTCAAAAGATGTTCTCATCAACAACCAATAGAAATGCACATTTAATTATGTGAAATGACAAGTAAATGTAATTCGATCCAAGCACCTGGGGAATGACTTTTAATGATTTAGGATTGATATAATGTGTTAGAAACAACGTTCTAGCACATAATTTACTCCTATTAACTATCAGATTCGAATTTGTCAATTAATTTAATCTTCATCATTTTAAGCTCAAATCTCACCAAGTTGACCACTTTCAATGTTTTTTCTTCACTTAAATGGACATAAGGCATTAGAGTCTATGTCCTAACACCTTAACAACATCAATTGGCCCATCTAAATTTGTTTATAAGAAAAAAGGATGAACCTCAAAAACTCAAACCAAACACTTACAGGGAAAAATGTTACCATGAATGACCTCTTTTGATGGAATTGATAAGGAGGAATATCAACCTAATTCAATCCCTAATGCTCAAGTTCAGATCTCTTTCACTGATTCTGTGGTTTCTCTCCTCTTTCTTTCTCAAAAGCAATTTGAAGGAATGCTTGGTAAACTATAGGGTCTAGCCTCTCGTTTAAGTTTCATTCTCTACACATTTGGCCCTCTAAACTTGGAATTTGTCTGGATCCCCCTCCCCCCGAGCTGGCCTATTTCTCGCATTAGGTGTTTCTAATTTATACTTTGTACCCCTTAGGCCCTTATAACCTCACAAATTCGAAATTATAGTCCAAAGTCTAGTGAAATGACAACAGGTCAGGTAAAAGCTACACACCTTAATTTCCTATATTTGAAACCTCCAACATCTTCATTCTCATGTAGCACCTATACACCTGATATTTACCAACTAATTATTTGATAAAAAATGAAAATGAAATTAATAAGGATAAAATATCTAACCCTTGCTTGAATCCGGGTGTTATAGTAGTACACGCAACATTTTCTTCAAAACAATCCCAGAATTATCATTACAAACGCATCTCCTTGTATAAAGCAACCAATGAGCAACAACTTTTATTTATTTATTTATTTATTTCCTTTAAACTGATAATTTATGATGTTATCGTGTAGAACTGGAGGTTTTTATGCTTTAAAGATGACAAGTCTTCTTTGAATCATAACATTCTTAAGACTGAAGAAGATTCTTCGCCAATGGAACCAGAACCGGAATCAAATCAACCAAATGTGAACCATGGTTGGCTATTAAACCTTAGACGGGTAATTATTTAACATCAATATCCCTTTCTCAATAATCAAGAGAAAAGGAAACATTACATTACAATTACAATGCAATTTCATGTTGTTTTCAGATATTTAGGGCAGAAGCAGAAGCAGAAGCAAAAGAATGGACAGTGCCATGGACAGGCAAGACCATTGTTCAAGTAATGCTCCTATGGATGGCCTCTTTTTGGTTTGTAGGCTCATGGATTATTCCATTTCTGGCTCATACATCCGGTTTCAGAAAAGACGCCTTAACTTTCAGAGGCCAAGCATTCTACAGCCTCTTAACCGATGTAGCCGAAGGCATCGCTGGAATCGGAATCCTTCATTCCTGCCTCGCCCCATTCCGTCCGCTTTCACCCAATTGGTTCAAATTCAGCCTCAAAGGCAACTGGCAGCTGGATGTGGCCTTAGGCTGCCTCATGTTCCCTTTAGTCAACCGTCTCTCACAAGTCAACCTCAATCTCTTCCCAATGCTCCCCCCTGCCCCCGTCACCGTCTCAAACGTGGAACGGTCGATCCTTGCGCGGGACCCGGTCGCGATGGCGGTTTATGCGGTTGTGGTGTCGGTCTGTGCGCCCGTTTGGGAGGAGGTTTTGTTTAGAGGGTTTCTTTTGCCTTCTTTAACAAGATATATGCCTGTTTGGTGCTCCGTAATTGTGACTTCTTTAGCTTTTGCATTCGCGCATTTTAACATGCACAGAATGTTGCCACTTGTGTTTCTTGGGATTGTTATGGGTGCTGTTTTTGCACGATCTAGAAACTTGTTGCCTTCTATGCTCTTACATAGCCTTTGGAATGCCTTTGTATTCATAGATCTTATGAAGTGACACCCACCCCATTATAATTATAATTACTACTATTAATTGTACAAATACACAATATTTGGTTTAATAATTCAAATTTTGTCATTCGGAGTCAATTGTCACAGTCTGAACATTAAGGATGGGCTGTATATGAAAAGAAGATGAATGTAGTTGTCTGGAACATGAATCTGGTTTTGGCTTGGTGTTGAGAGTCATTTTCTGCTTCTGTTTACCGCCATTCCTCCCATACTTGATGTCAGTTTCTTTCCCCGACAGCTGAGGGGACCAATGTCGGTTGTTTTTGTTTCTTTAGGGTTGGTTGAGAATATATTATAATTTAATGTAAATAAGTTTTGATTCAATTCTTTAGCCACACCAGTATTATTTTCTAGAATTAAAGATTTCCTCCTTTGTGGGGTCCGGGTTATTGTGGTTTAGAATGTGTAATGGATCACATGCGATAGGTCTATTGTCGAGTGTCTAGTGTCTAGTGTCTAGGTAGGCATTCAATAGATACCTACGTTCTACTTGGTTTGGTCGTTTAAAAGTTACATGGATAGGCTCATAGGCTCAATCATTATATGATGTGAATTGTGACTGGTGAGTTGTAATGAGAAATAAAATTTATGAATTATGATTGTTGGACCTCACTAGTCCCTTGCCTTTAAATATCTATATATTTTAAATAAATAATGCTCGATTCAAATCATTCGTTTCATAAAGTTTTACTAAAACAAGCTTGTTACTTGTTAGAACATACCAAAACTATAAATCATTTTCACTACAGTAAATCGTAGTTTTGACGCATTTGCCTAAAAGTAAATGGATTTGGATTGTATGTAATGGCTAAAACAGAAAATAGCCACCAAAGAATCGGTCAAAGGCTGTATATATAGCTAACTTTCTATGTTATCTATAAAGTTGAAAAGAGTATAAAGAAAAAGTAATAATGATTCAACTTAACATATCTTTGAATATACCAGAGTTTCAGATTTACGATCTAAATATGGCTGTATATATATAACTTTATATGTTATCTATAAAGTTGAAAAGAGTACAAAGAAATAGTAATAATGATTCAACTCAACATATCTTTGAATATACTAGAGTTTCAGATTTATGATCTAAACATATTTTGATACAAGTCGTTTTGATACAAGTCGTTTATTCAATTTGCAATGGGAATTCAATACCTCCTGCCACCTAACCTACCTATGCACTATGGTTTGGTTTATGATATATGCCACCACTCACTAGAGCCTAGAGTCTATATAGGGTATTTTCTTCTACAAGTGTTTGAAATAAAAATAGGCAAGGTAAGGGGACCAATGCCTCCTCTTTTCCAATACTAAAAACATAACATGCGACATTACATCATGTGTAGGGTTAACATTTGTCGTTTACATTCCTCTTATTTCATGGTAGCAAGGACCACTTCATAATTGTGTCCTTCTTCTTGTTATATATATATATATATATAAGTTCAAGACGCCTAATAAACATATGCACTATTATTCTTTCAAATTTGAATCATTTCCATTCACAATTCATGGAAGCTTCACAACCAACTTGGTTATCAAATCCAAACCCAAACCCAATCTCAACTCTCATTAGCCCGAATTGCTCCTTTAGAGTCTCATTTGATGAGGCTTCCTTCATTGAAATGGATCCTAACCTCACGCCCTCCAAAAGATTCCTCGTTCGTCCAGATTCTGATTCTGGTTTTGATTTTCCAACATCGCAAGCGCCTTCAACACTTGTCCATGCCGATAAGCTCATTTCAAACGGGACCTTGCTTCCCATGAAATCACATGGCCCATCCGGCTCGGTTCCCAATTCACCTCTCTATCCCACCATTCAAGACAACAATCGTCTTCGTAAAAGCCGTTCTATGATGCTACGTAGGTGTAACCGACTCCCGAAAAGAATCATACAAAAATACATGGATTTGGTTCAACCGATTTGGTGTAGACTGAGACGGGGGAGGTCAGATAGTAGTAGGGTACAAGGAGTTGAGAACTGGGAATGTTCGTCTGCTTACGGTCCCGGTCCTGGTCCCAGGACAAGTGGTGCGTGTTGGGTAGATAACCGTCGAAGATCTTGCGACTCTGAGAGCTCGATTCATGAGGCGGTTGTCCATTGCAAGAGAACCATTGGTATGAATTGAGAATTTGATGATGTGTTTCTATGTAGTTAATTTTGTAAAGTCTCATTGATAGTACATTAAAGGAAAAATGAATTAATGCCTTCATGTGGCAAAAAAATGTTACATTGTATCATACCAATGATTGCATATTTGCATCACATGTATTGTTGGTCATATGTTTTAACTTGATATCGTTTGGCCAAAATTGTAAAGCACTAAACCTAAAGGCTATTTTCTTGTTTTATCTTATTATGAAAGATTCAGACGTGAATTGTGACATCACCTACAAACTAAAAAAATGTGAGCTTTCTTTTGATATATATATATATATATATATATATATATATATATATATATATATATATATATATATATATATATATATATATATTATAAGAAATGGATTATAGGGTCATGATTAAGTTTTGTTACGATTTAAAATTGTTTTTAAGGTTATGGAAGTAGATAATAATAGTAGATTCGTTTGTCCCACCAAAGCAAAACAACTAAGCAAAGATTGGATAGGACCACACGCAAATCACGTGACTACATTTTTAACCTTATTTAGAGCGAGACCACTCATGGGGGCACATAATTGAAATCGACAATGACAAAATGTGATAGAAAGATACAACCATAGAAAAGCTGTATTGCAACGTTTTTGGTCGACTAATGTGCCAAAATTCGTTATCTTTTATTTGTTATCTCTCTACAGTGTAAAGTCTAATGATAGAAATAATTAAAAGGGAAAAAATATATATACATAAATACGATCCAAACATAACAAAATCACTTCTTGGATGATATCTATTCAACAAATGTACTATCGGATCAACAATGCAGTTGACATTGCAGGATGTGTATAAAATAACCGAAACTTAATCCATTATTCTTAAACATACCGGAATCCAATTCATTTCCAACTTGAGGGCTGAGGCGGAAGTGCATTGAAAAGATTGTCTAACTTATATCGTCAAATAAAAAGACTCGAAATAAAGCCTAAAGTATATAAGGTATTTCATCATTTTCATCTTTAATAAAGTATACTTTAGGTGTTTTTGAGAGAATATTTTCAAAGAAAATTATATTGAAGGATTGTCAAATAAAAATATGTTAGATTTTGGGTCTAAGAATATCAATATATACTTGAATAATTGTAGGATCATGATTACAATCACTTTCTAAAATCTGTGATTTCGATCATATAGTCGCGGGGGGGGGGGGCGGGGGGTATCACGAAATCAGATTTGAGATAATCCAAAACTGATAGTTTAAAGTCAAGCCACTTCTAAATCTGAAACACAGAAAGTACACTATTGTTTGTGTTATTGAGAGATCCAACGAATCCGATGATCAATTTAGAGTATGAGAAAATCCAAAAAAAATCTGGAATATATTCTATGTTCGTGAAGCTTTGGAGCACTAGAAAGCCTTGAGAAATAGAGCTTTCGGTTTCAAAGTTTTGCTCGCGTAATGTCCGTTTTTTCGTCAAACAACTTGTAAGTTGTGGTATTGTTTTAGTTCGTAAACGTTACTATGAACTTACAAATAAGATTTATCAATAATACCAATCGTTATACTGACTGGTCTATTTACGAGAATGATATCAATGCAAGATCAATGAGGTGTTTAAAGTGAATTTTCCAAATAATATATTTATATGTCAAACAGATCCTACAACTGCTACGATCTTACCATGTTGTTTATTATCAACTATATGTTAATGTTCTTTTGGGATTATTAATAAATATGATAACAAACATTATAACAATTTAACTTTATAAATACGAATAAATACTAAGACATAGTAATATTTGTGTTTAGGTCGTTTTAAAAATGAAATTTGAAATGTCAGTCAATGATCTAATTTTTCCGTGAGTCTTCCACCTATATCAAGTAAGCGTATGGTTACTTTCAAGAACATGATTTTAATACGATGTTATTAGATGATAATCTTAAAAATAGGTATTATTACTTAAAAGATTACTATACATAAAAATATCAGATACCATGTGCTAAAATTATACAGAGTTAGTATTGTCTAAGTTTAAAACTAAGACATATAAAAAATAAATTTAAATCTAGTTAAGTTGGATAAAATAATAGTTGTATACTCCATTGCGATAGTACGGTGTAAACATGAAAATGGTTTGGAAATCCATTATAAGCATTATAGTCTTACTTAATAATAAACTAAGATTTATAAAGGTTGCTTAGTTCGAATTAAATTAAAAGAGTGTTTAGTTACACCCTATATTGTAAAAATATTACATAGACATAAAATTGTGTTGATTACAGGTTTGTAATCTTGTCTAGTTATACATTAGGACTTAAAGGGATGCTTAGTTCAGTTAAGTTTGGATTTTGGGTGGTATCATATTAAGGGTGTGAGAAATAGGAAAGGAGAGTAGAACTTGTTCTATGACATTATCAAGTGTTGATGGTACCAAATACGTACTAGAGTATAATAAAGTATTCTTTTGGATGACCGAAATGGTATAACAATATGTCTGGTTATCTCCCAAAGTAAGATAACAACACTTGATCATTTTAGATGGTCTTGTGAATTACGTTGCTAGTGTGGGATCATAACCTACAGGCGTAGATGAAATGAGATATCATATTCATCAAATACTCTGATGGCTCAAGTGCCTTTACGACATATACCAGCCAAGGAATCCCCTAGATGTGTAGTCAAACCATTATTCTCAATGATTCATCAGGCAAGTTGATAATCATGGACTAGAATTTGTGAGAATCGGTTGGGATGCATATGAATGGGTGTAATGTTTTATCGATATCTAAGTTGAGGGATATATCTATATTGTTTGGTAACATTTGGTTTTGCAGGTTTGATAATTACAATTTATTATTATAATAATATTATGGGATTGAAAACCCTATGTGGCTCACTGGGTTTCCCCACCTGACACACCCAATTTATATGCATAACATGTAATAGGGTTAAAGCCATTGGAACTTGTTTAGGATGTCGAGTGATTAAAAGATAACCTGCAATAGTGTTCATGACCATTAGGTCTTTACGTTGTAACAATGTTATGTATTGATTATAACATCCTGAGAGTTTGTGTATTTTGAAACAACATCTTTACTCAAAGATATTTTAATTAAATGAAACAATTTCTGCAAAATGTTTTATTATACTGGGATTTACTGCAAACAACAATAATATGCTTTTTTTTTAAGTGTAAAGAAATTTTTTTTTTGTTCTGAAAAATAGGGGATGTCGCATACCATGCCATGGCTATCAAGGTTTTTGAGATCCATATATTTTTCATCAAAAAATCCAAATTGACCACTCCTTGCATATTCGGGTTAAGTATTCTCTGGTGTTGTACAACCAGCTTTGCGTCTTCTTCGATAGTGATCTTATGTGAGCAATAAGAAGGACTTATTTCTTTGATGTCGGTAATTCTCCAAGCAATTATGTTTTTGTGTTTTCTTTAAAACTTTGAATAAACTCTCCTTTTCAGCGGGTAATGTAATTTGGATGATCCGAGAGTTCGATTTGTGTTTTAGAACCAAGGGGTATATCGCTAAAGTGTGAGTTCGGGCTTTTTATGAATTTTAGATTTTAGTTCGATAAGTTTAAGGCAAGGATGAGTTGATAGAAGTGTAGAGCTTCTTGTTACCTTTCCGTGGATATATGAATAGTAGAAATCGGGCTTAGAACGGGGAATATATGGCATTCAGAAGTTTGAAGGATTGAGGGTCCGCCTAGTACGTGGGGGGTACTAGACAAGGGGGTCGCGAGCACTCCTTGGAGTACGCTGGGCGTACCAGAGTTACGCATAGCGTACTCCAGTCTGATCCAAACCCTAATTTAGGGTCTTGGACCGTATTTAAGCTCCTTAACTCAACACCATAGCCTATTATCTTCGGCCTCCATCTCTTTAAACCCTAGAATCGAAACCCTAGAGTGATTTGGTGAGTTTTGATCTTGAAAGAGTGTTTGTGGGTAGTTTGTGAAGAATAAGAAGAAGAAGAGCACTAGAGGAGATAGCTTGAGCTTGTAGATCCAGGATCTTTTTCCCATTTGCAAGCATTTTAAGGTAAAAATATCTCACCTTGATGGTCTTTGGTGTTAGATATAGTTATGGTGTATTTTGTGCACTTATGGAGACTTTTGAGTTAAAGAAGAGCTTTTGATCTACTCCAAAAGTAATGGATGCTAGATCTAAGCTCCATTTAGGTCCTATGTTCATAAAAATGCAATCTTTGTGGAAGATTTTGGTCCATGCAAGCATTAAGATCTTTATTAAGGTCTTTTTGAGCTTTTGAGTCCCTTTAATCCATGCATGAGTGTAAAGTTTCCAACTTTATGTGTTAAGACCATTAAGAGCTTTTGTGGGGTTTTGGCTTTCCGAAGAGTACACTGGGCGTACAGGTGTACACTCAGCGTAATGAGGGTGACATGCTTTAGCAATTTGTACCTTGTGCTTCATGGGTGAGTACGCAGGGCGTACCATTCTGGTACGCGGGGAATACTCCAAAAAATGTCATTTTGGGCCTTTTAAGGTTTAGGCTTTGTTGGGACATTGAAATTCGTACCTTGATCCATGGATAGCCTGTGGTCTTTCTTGGTATTGGTCCCATGATGGTTTTTAGGCTCCATTTGGAAGATTGAGCCATATTGGGCTTTGGAATACCATTTAGGATATAGGCCTTCGGAGTAGTTGAGTTGGGCCTTGGATTTAGGCCAAGTTAGATAAAGGGTAGAATGGTCTTTTACCCTTGTTAGGTCGGAAACCAATTAATAATTGGATGTCATTTGAGGATAGTGCGGGGATTCTCCGAACCAACAGTCAAAGATTAATTCGAGTGTTTTAGCAGCTACAAGTGAGTCTTCCTTCGGAGTATCCGTGGGTCGAAGGCACCAAGGCCGACCCATTAGTTTATGTTGTAGTGTGATGATTGTCTTTGTGACAATTGTCAATTATGTCTGTATTTGTTTGATGACTCTGTGATTTCTATTATGATATTATGTAGTATTAGTAGGGGTGAAATAGACCGAAGGGGATTGCAAGCACCCAGATATGGTTGATAGTATCTAGTTGAAATAAACCGAAGGGGATTTTAAGCACCCATATATGCTTGATAGTATTCGGGTGAAATAGACCGAAGGGGTAGGCATGCACCAAAATATACTTGGCAATATCCATTTGAAGTAGACTGAAAGGGTAGTCAAGCACCCATATATGTTTGGCAGTATGTTTGTTTAGTATGTGGTATTTTGGGGGAACTCACTAAGCTTTGTTCTTACAATTTTTTATGGTTATGGTTTTAGCTACTTCCGGTTCGAAAGGGAAGGGTCCGACAATATCACAACGCATACCCTTGTTTCCGCATTATGATGATTTTGAGATTGTACTCTGATAACTGTTTTCTTATAAAGTACTTTTGAATATTTAGAAAAAAGATAATGGATGTTTGACTAAAAAATAATTAGTGTTTTGGTTGAATTAAAAATAAAATTTTTACCTCATAATTTTTGGGACGTTACATAAAGAGTGTGATATATCTTTATACATCTAGTGGTAGTAATTTTTGAGGGAAACTATTTTGTGCATTACAGGTGCTGGATGAAATGCTTAAGAGACTATTGATGTTTAACTTAATTACATTTTATTTGGTCTTACCTAGTACATGTCGAGTAACAAATGCAAATGGTTAAATGGTGAAACGGTCTTTGCTTGTGCCTGTTACGAAGCTATTAGCACATCTCTATAACTTATTTATAAAAATGTAAAAATATGATGTATTTATGCTTGTAATTAGAAGTATTATGGTAAAAATGTGATGTATTTATGCTCTCACACTTGTATTTGTGGAGCATGTGAAGCAAGGACATACATGAGTCAAGAGAATGTTCTTCCCAGTGTTGAATCAACATTTTGTAAAGGAACTCCAAATCAATAGCAATTTGAAGAAACACACAAGGACATTATTTAGCTGAACCAATATAATTTTAATGTTAATTCATTTATTTGTAAATAGTGTCAATATTATTTAATAGTATTGAATGCTTTTATAAAAAAATGTTATGAATTTTATTTAAATGTTGTAAGAATGGAATTTTTAAAATTTTGGTGTTGAAAAATTATTTTAGTTTTATCGAATTAGTTTATTTAAATTTTAGTTTATTATATTAGCCTAAAGAGGTTAAAAAACAAACAAACTTTTTATTACATGCTGCAGTTGTTTGGTTCACCGCCGACTTCCTAAATTTTTGTTTCGAAAAAACAAACAACACATAAGTCATATTGTAACGACCCAAATTTTCAAAAGAAATTTTCATTTTTAAATAGTCAAAACATTTCCAGTAAACCACAGAATCTCATGAACAATTGTTTTCAAATTCATAACATCTACAATTTTATTTCAATTATTAGAGTGTCCCACAAAACCGCCTGAGAAAGAGAGAGAGAGTGCACCGGCCCCCACACAGTCATCTTGTCGTGGGAACCCCCATACGGTCTTTACTACCAAGAAATAACATACAAATCGCACATGCAAAGATACTAGAATATCATGGAAACCCTCCAAGGTCTTACACATAAGTGCCTCGGGAACCCCCCGAGGTCTTTCATGCGAGTATCACAAATAACTAGCATACCGCATATCTCATAACCAACTAATCATACTCATAACAACAATTGGCCAGCCTGGTGCCTTCGAACCATTGGTATGGTGATGAGACTCACCTCTCGAGAATGTTGAACTGACAAGATATGATCTGGATAAGTCCCAACGCGCAACTCCAACTCAACTGCCTATAACCATCATGTGATTAACTTGTCAAAATCCCGAAATACCATAAATACCCTCAAATTCAACCCTTGTCAAAGTCCAAGTCAACAGTCAAGGTCAATGGTAACCTAACTTGTCGAGTGCATCTGGTAACTCGTCGAGTTCCTTCAGAGTCTAGAAAACTAAAATCTCGAGTCAACTCGCCGAGTCACCCGAGTGACTCGTCGAGTTCTTCGGTGTCCAAGGGTCGAAAACTCTAAACCGAGATCTCTTGACTGAAATCTCTTTGTCAGCTCACCGAAATCACTCTGATCCCGAAAACAGGAAAAACCTACCTGACTTGTCGAGTTGACTAAGCACATCTTCGAGTCCTTTCATTCCTTTTTGTGTTCAGTACTTTCTAGTGGAATCCAGGGCTCAAAATTAGAAATCCAACCCCTTATGGTGTAGTTACCACGTTAAGTTACAAACTTTACTTGCATGTAAGGCCTCCCAAGGCTAAAACACTTACATTAGGGTTCATACAACACTTAGGACATGGAAAAGGGCTCAGAGTAGGTAAAGGAAGTAACTTTATGTCAGTGAAGACCTAGAGGTGTCAGATCTGGAACCATATCCTTATGACAAGTCCAAATCCGAGTATGACACCATTTTTGCACCAAAAGTGACCATATTCTTCCATAAGATGAGATCTAAGCAAAGAGAGATCAAGGTAGCAACTTTTTACCTCCAAATGGATGCTAACAACAAGTAGATACCAAATCCAAAGCCCTCTCCTCACTTCAATCTCTTCAACCTTCAAGTTTCCTTCTAACAAGCGCAAGTTTCACTCTCCAAGGCTCTCACACACTCAAGAAAGCACCAAAATGTGTCTAAGGTTTCTCTCTGGACTGTAAGAACGATGAAAGAGGCTATAAATGAACCATAAGTTCTTTAAATAGGGTACAAACCCCTGAAAATTATGGTTTTCCTTTACAATGCCTACTCGTCGAGTCTGGGCCTTCCGATTCGTCGAGTAGGATCTAAATTCCGCATCCTCATAAATGATCTCTACTTGACAAATTGGAGCTCCCCAACTCGTCGAGTCCTAGCACAAAACCATAAAAACTCAGAAAATTAAATGATACCTGGAACAGACATTACACATGTAAAATTTTATGTAAATTTTGACTGAATCGCAGATAACTAAACGAATTCAAACTCAATATTTTGTTTCATCATGACCCTACTTTGTAGGTTGTACCAATGTCCATTAACACGTAGATACAAATTGATATTCCTACGAGAAACAGTCCAAACGTCATATATAAAAAAATTGTATTGTATAATTTTTGTAACCTAAAATCATTTCTTGTTTTGGTTCGGTCCAAAATTTTATTGCATATTTTCTAAGGTTAGTACTAGTTATCAGATTATAACGTGGTTGATGCTTTGTTCGGAAAATTTTCTTAAGTCAAGGTTGTCGAAATGGTCAAATGGAAGCATTTCTTGGATGTTAAGCTTTCATCAAATGATTTCAGTGTCGTGTTTTCAGTAGGGTTATAAAACTTGCCATATTTTTTTTTACATCGAACTTTTCTTCTACTTCGTTCAAGAATCAAGATGCAATAATTGATATTAAACCAAATACCTTTGTTTCGGTAAATTTACGAACTTCTACCGTAATGACATTTGTTTAGATTTTGATCTAGAGTTATCTAGTTGTACTTATAGAAGTGGAAACAAAAGATTGAGTGGTTGCCATTTTGATAATGAAAATTTGAGAACTAAGTCGAAGGTATAATATTGCGAACAACGTTGAGAATAGTGATTTTTTCCCGTATTTGGAGCTTGTTGAAACCAAGTGCACCAAAACCTATTAATAAATTGGTCATTTTTAGGGTTAACGAGGCCATAGAGCAGTCATATAACGACTATATGGAAGGTTAAAGAAAAATGTTTTTTGCCCATTGATTAGATCCGAAACCATGTATTTTTCCGGAGAAAAAAGTTTGGCCCTCAAATCTGGTTTCAAAATCTCAAAGGAATTAGCTCCTTAACCGGCGTATAAGATAAACTCGAAACGGATATATTCAAATCCGGTTCAAAACCGGTTCCGCATAAGAATAGTTGAGCATTGGGTAGAAGCAAGATCTAAGTTGGGCTTTATATTTGGACATTGTGTAGAAGCAAGATCGGAACTTACGAAAGACTGCACTTAACCAGGGTCCAAGGCCTGTGTGGGACTGTGTTGGGAATTGGTCAAGACAAACCCAATACGATATAGTCCGGCTATCATGGATCTACAAAGGAACAAAAAATGGATTAATGGGCCTTAGTTCCTATTCCTGGGCTCCTGGAAAGTGGAAAATGGTGAAATGGTTCTTCAGATTTGAGGATTTAATAAAGGTCGATGGTTAATGCTTCAAATCTTTAATGGAAGCAGTAGATGAGATGTCAAGATGGACGTCGGAGATGTCAAGATGGACGTCGGAGATGCGATGTGCTGGTAGGTGAAAAGCCGAAAAGGGTTTGCTTAAATATTATTCTATACATTATATTGATTTTGAATAAATAGAAGTTAACTATTTAATGGTATCCATTATACACGATGACATGTCAACGTGTATTTAATGGTATCCATTATAAATGATACGTCAATGTGATAAAACATGTCACATATACCTATTCTAATAAAAGAGTAGTTTTTAATCTCTTTTTGATATGTGTCACCATATTAAACCTCATAATTAATGCATTTTTTTTTGCCATGTTCATCTTATTATATATTATAATTAATGCATACCATTTGTCAACATATTGATTCTCCATTTCAAATTTCAAATTTTAAATTTCTCATTCTAATTACATTAAATCAACAACATTAGAATAAAAATTAAAATAAAATTAATACAAATTATAAAGTGATATAATTTTATATATTTATTTTGATCAATGATTATAATTTTATATAACTAAAATACATCTTAATTAATAGTTTATTTAAAATAAGTTATTAATAATTTTAAATTTTAACTATTAAAGTTTAATTAATTTTATAACCGTGGTTTCCACGGATGATAAACTAGTTTGTTGATAAAAGCATAACTATAAATTTGTAGTTGTTTTTTGCACTTTACCTTTTCATTTATGATAAAAGAAATAGTAAAATGAAACGTTCGAACAAATAAATTTCAACAAAACAACAACATGCTTATATTTTATATTTTGTAAAGCCAATACTATATACATCCAAGTTCATTGGAACTTTTCTAAACTAAGTTCCTCCTTTGACTAATCACTCAAACCGTGTGTATCAGTTACATTACTCTTATTGATATCGGTTAACATTTAATCCTGAAAATGCCACCGGATCCTCCTCAACCTTTTCATCGTTGGAGCTCATGGATTTAAAGGGGTCTTCAACATCTTTGACTGAGCCACATGTGCCCCGGTGAAACCATTTCCGTTGTGTTTTGGGTTTCCGGTCACTAATTGCAATCCCAATGTCGTTCGGGAAAAGGTCTCGTAGCACAAAAGCGTGAACAATTGTTGTTATCAGTAGCCCTGTCACTGTAACCGTAGCAGCTGTTGACAGGGTTACTGATAACGACTTGGTTACTATGTTCGAGACCTCACTTGAGTATCTAATTGTGGCGATTGCAGCTCCAGTCATTGGGAATGTGTAAGCCCACCACGCCAATGAGAACCGGAACCCCCTAAAGAAATTTACACGAACCGCCTACAAATATATACATATTAGAGCAACTCTAACCATACTTGGAAAACAAAAATTAAGGTTAAAATTTATAATTTGTATGCATTTTGTGTTAGGGTTGGAGATGGGACTGGTGAAATTTGCAAACTCCACATATAAAATTTACAAATTTAATTGAATAAAAAAGGGTAAAGCATATGTCCATATTGTTGGTGGTCCCACGATGCACATGTCCAACGACTATCACGTGATAGATAAATCGCAAAACACCAACCGTCAAATGAGTCCGAGATTTGAAAATGAGAAGCCTTTATAGGGTTCCACTTCCCAACCATTGGACTCCTTTTGTAGGGCTATAAATTTAATCAAATAATGATAATTTGAACTTACCAGTGAAAAATAGAGAAACAAGGCAATGAAGTATGCGATACGCGACCCATAATCAAACGATCCATTGATTTTGGCCCAAGCCATCGAGGCAACACTTGGAGCGGCAACAAATAGAAAGAAAACAGGATGAAGCTCTTTCGGGAGGGTTTCGTTAGTTGGAAGTCTTTGATACAATGTCACAAACAAAACTGTATAATGAGCCAACCCAACCGCAAAGAAGAAAATCGGGCCTTCCTTTAGTCCCATTGATGCCCCCAAAAGAGCTCCGACAAAGTTCCCAACCACCGATAAGTGGTTGGACGGGTTCGCCACCTTGGACAACCGCCGTTGCCCGCCGGACATCCATTGCCCATAAATCTTGAGCTCTAGACATAAAATCGGTGTCATTAACATGTACCATAAAGAGTGAGGCAACTTTGTAGTAATACTATCGGGAACTCCAATAGACAAAAAGAGTAACGCGATCCACGGGGCAAAAAAGAAGTTAACTCTAATTGGGTGGTAGTATTCTCTTCGAACGGCTTCAAAGTAAAAGATCACTTTTAGAAGGTATGTTGAGGCCACAACTGCGAAAAGAAGGATTGATATGCACCATAGAGTGTAGTTTACTCTAAGGCTTATATGAAGGAAATGTGTCGAAGCGGTTGAGGCTAAATGCTTCCACATTACCGCTTGGCTACTAACACCGAGACATATACCAAATGATGAGATCGGGTAACGAAGAAGAAACGGCCATTTTTTATCTTCGGGGAGCATTATTTCTTCAGAAGGCTGTTAAACAGAAATTATATTTTTAAATACCGATTTGTAATAAAATAAAATCAAGATCCACGTTTATTTATATAAAATTATTTCAAATTATTTTGTATTGAACAGAAAGGATTTGAGTATACCCTAAGAGTCTCCAACTCCGGTCCTTCTAAAGCATCGAAGTATCTGTCTACAGATAAACTCTCCCCTTGAAGGTTTTGGGGAGGGTTTATCTCTAGATCGTTACATGATTTTCCACGTAAAGTGGAAAGTTGTCTCTCAAGTCGACCCGACCATGTTTTGAATGAGTTGTATCTGTTGTCCTTCAACCCATCCATCCTAGTGTTCTTCACTGGGAGGATGAAACGGTCCGGGGATTTCCTCCGCCCCGTCTCATCAATTCCATAGCCCGTCGTGTCTGTCACGACGGACTGTGGATTAAATTTAAGCTCATGGGTGTTAGACATGATGTCTGGATTTTTCGGGCTATGGATTCCGGTTGCTTCATGTTCCTCTTTAAACAAAACTCTTTTGGTATCGATTGGCGAAGGTGGAATGCTAACCGAAACAGATTGTTTTCTTTGTTGATTCGAAATGTCATCCGGGCTATCAATCTCGTTTCCATTGGGCTCCTGCCAAAATTACAACCTTAAGTACAGATTTTTATAGTAAAAATATTTGAGTTAGCCGGTCAACAATTTTTATATTACTAAATTAAATTATAATCTTCACCGATTGTTCTAAAAATTTTATGTTAAAAATATACCATAAAATGAGAATTTGAGGCATTTTGGTTGAAAAGATCACGATCAAAATTCAAAATATGGTTGGCATCTGCAGATCTGATCAGTGATGGAAGAAGCATTTCAGGGGAATACTGTTTTGACTCTCCACTAATCTTCTTGGTGTGTGCCATTACATTCAACTTGTTGCTGTAAATTAAACAAAATAATAATAACAAATTAACAACCACTAATTTTAAAATTTAAGTCATTAAAATAAAATCAATGAAATGTAAATATTCTCATATATATATATATATATATATATATATATATATATATATATATATATATATATATATATATATATATATATATATATATATATATATATATATATATAATCTTTTGAATTGTTTAACATGAAATGCTATTTCATTAGCGTCTAAGCGGCATAATTTTATCATTATATAATTAAAAAAGATGTTATGTTAAATAATAATGTAATGAAAATATGTTGTTATTATTTGTAATTAATTATTAAAAAAAAAAACCTTTAAATCAAAAAACAACTTAAAAGTTCAGAAAACTAAAAGTTATTTGAACTACTAGTTTCTGGCTATCGGTTGAAGTTAACAAATTTTTAGTTTAGTCCCATCAAATTATAAATATAGAGGTAACTAAATTGTATATCCCAAAAAAAAAAAAAAAAGTTGTAGTGTTCAAATATAGTGTCACTTAAAATGTATTAAAAATGGTAATCAGAATAAATCTCGTAAACGAAATTATTTACAATACCTGCTGGGGACTTCTAGAACTGCCAAGTGTGTGAAGCTTATACACTGTAGATGCAGAAAAAGAAGAAAAACTTGTACTTTTGGGGTAGTAAGACATGCATCATTGAGTTGTACCTTTAAGAAATAAGAAAGAAAGGAGGAAGAGGAAGAGACAGAGTAAGAGTAAGAGGAAGAGACAGAACCAGAAAGAAATGAAAGAGCACACTTTCCCCATCTCAAATGCGAAGCTGTTTATATAGCACTCACTGTCTGTAGTCTACCAAATATATTGTTTTTTAAGAGTTAAAAGTATACATCCCAAATTCCCAAATATAAAAATATACTTTAAAATATCTTTTATTTACCATTTATAAAACTTATTTTATTTATCGCATAGTGCCAAGTTGCGAAGACGACCGGAAAACCTGATTCTTTTATTATTTACTATAATTGTTTGTTTATATTTGATATATATTTTTTGGAATGTTATATCTTATATGTATTTGAATAATTTTAGCAGTTTTTTAACATGTTTTACTTACAGTTAAATTTTAAAAGTTAGTTGATTTTAGCAGTTTTTTAACATGGTATGGGGTAAATTTGATCCCTAACTTATTTTTTTAACTCGTAAGGTTCATATTGTTTGTTTTTGTTACGCGTTTGGTCTATGTCTTACCTAAAAATACTATTTTGCCATTGATTTTTTAATTTATTTAAATAAACACACCATCAACCTCATCTCTCTCACCTTACCTTACATACTCTTTTATTTTTCGCTATTTAAATAATAGCCTTTTTAGGTAAGATATGGATCAAACACGTAACAAAAACAAATAGTAAGGACCAAACGTATGACAAAAACAAACAATAGGAACACTCTAAGTTAAAAAAATACGTTAGGGACCAAATACTCAAATTACTCCACACCGACCATTCGTGTAATTTACTCTAGAATAAAACAAAGAATCTAATTAAATAACCTATAAAAATAATTTTCAAAAAACGTGCTGCTTATTTTATTCTAAGAGATCAATTTAATGTAACCTTTATTAAAAACTCACGGTATGGTTTATTAATTTAAAACATATTTAATAAGGTTTTGCAAACCGGATCGGAGACCGAACTGATCGTTTTACTGGTTCGATGGTTCAAGTGGTCCAACCGGTCTAAAAAACCGGAAAAACCGGATGATATCATAATTATATTTAATTATATAAAAAATACAAAAAATGAAAAAAAAATATTTTTTAAAAATTTCCGGTGTAACACCGTGAATTTCAAAAAAAAAAAAAAAATTAATTTTCGTAAAACATAATTCAATTAATATTCATAAAACAACCATATTAATTATCCAACTCAAGTCAATACAAAATCCCAAGATCACAAATGTATAAACTCCGTGTGTGTACGGATCAAGCCGGCGCCTTCCCGCGGTCGTCACTAGTACCTGAAACAACAACATCAAACACTGTAAGCACAAAGCTTAGTGAGTTCCCCAAAATACCACATATAACACATATTAGCCACTCGAGGCTATAACTCTGTGGGTCCGTGCACCCAAACTCTGTGAACCCTCAGGTTCTAACTCTGATAAACATGCACCACATAAATCACATAGAAATAATGCAGTACAACACATAACATACATAGCATACAAATACTCTATCACATGACTCTGGTTACCTACTCAAGGTAAAGTATAGTGAGAAGACTCACCTCGCGTATCTCGGTATCTCACGAATCCTGGAAATCCCTTGTGCTCGATCCTCTGAGCTCTAATCCTCCTATAATATCATATGTCTCCGATTAACACTTTATATCTCTAAGGTTGACTATCCCTAAGAAGTCAACACAGGTCAACTCCGGTCAACGGTCAACGGTCAACTTTGACCGAACTCGGCGAGTCTAGACATTTTCACCAACTCTCTAGGATTCCCTTCCTACACGTCGAGTACTCCCCCTGACTCGACGAGTTCCACCTGGAAGAATCGCGGGGCCACCCCGACTCAACTCGCCGAGTCTCAAGAACAACTCGGCGAGTCCCAGTTCGACTCAATCCACCTGTCGACCCTCTTTAACTCACCCTGACTCACTGAGTCAACCTATGGCTCGACTGGACCACTCACTGAGCGAACTCAAGGCAATCTTCAAACTACTCGCCGAGTCTGTTCATCGGACTCGGCGAGTCCATGCCATGCAACCACTCCAACTTGCTTCTAAGGTGAGATCTGCTTCCATAATTTATAGATCTGGCCTTCCTAGACTGATTCATCACGTAAAGCCCCTAGCTTGGTGTCCATAACACACCCCATGCCTCATAAATAGCATTTTGACTTAAGGCATAAGGATTCCAATCCAAAACCTCCATTGATTCCCAAAAAGCTTGGGCAAAGGGACACTCTGGACCTCCAACGGTCCAGATCTATGGTTTAAATCACTTAAGGGACCAAGGAAGCACTAGATCTAGCCACAAGAGGGTTCAACAAACCCTAAATCAAAATAAACATCATCATGGAGAAGGATAACTCGAAATTATTACCACAATAGTGATGCTCTGAACTCCAAACTCTCAGAAAATGGTTCCACTTGCTTTCCCTTAGCTGGTTCTCCCTTTCCTTGCAAAAATGACACCTCCAAGATCAATAATGGCCTCCTACTTTGCTCCAAACGCTCACACTCGATTAGGGTTTCACTCAAGGGACTGGTGAGTACAAAATGACGGCCATAAGGCCCTTTAAATAGGTCCCAAACCCGAGAAATTTGGGTTTCATTACACAGCGCGGACTCGCCGAGTCCATATCCTGAACTCACCGAGTCCAGGCGCGATCCCGCAACCAGATCCGCGATCCTACTCGGCGAGTCTGAGCTCCAACTCGCCGAGTCCCCTCTCAGAACACCAAAATCATAAACATAAAAGATACTTGGAAATCCGGGTGTTACACCGGTTTTGACCGGTTCAACCGGACCGGTTTTTACCGGTTCAAACAAATACCGATTTTTTGACCTTTATGAACCGGATCCGGGACCGGTTCCCGGTTGAACCGGTCGAACCGGCCGGTCCGGTCCGGTTTTCAAAACATGGATATTTAAAATTTTATAAAATTTGAAGGAATTTGAAAAGAGCTTTAAATCAAAACAATAAATTACAACAAATGAAATTAGAACATTATATATACATGAAATTTAAATAAAGATTATTAAATTTAAAGTCTCTTATCTATTTATCCCGCTGAACAACAGTTGATGATAGACAAGTTGTTTATCGGTCATCTCCTATATATTTTCGTACATATCATATAATCATTTATGGATTTAAAATATGATATTAGGAATTAAAATGATAAAAAAATAATTAGTCAAAATAACAAAGCTTTAAAAAAAAGCTTTAAATGTTAAATAAAATAAAAGATAAAATGAAATATTATTATTTAAAAATAGTTAAGTATGCCAAATACCAAATATTATTCTCAAAAAAAGTATTTAAGATAACCTAACTTGTTTATATTATTGTTTTAAAAAATAATTGAGTTCAACGGTAAATAAAAATATTCCAAATTGATTATTAGTATATGATTTTTCCATATTAAAGATGTTGGATTATTGAGGTTATTAACCCATTTTATAAACAAAACTACGTGAATACCCGCGCGTTGCGCATAAATTCCTATATAGTTGAAGTATTTACAAATATATGTTTTTTTTTAAATATAGCAATAATGTTTTTGTTAAATTTGATATAATAATTCGTATACTAAATTGATATAATATATTGATTATTTTGAATTATATATATATATATATATATATATATATATATATATATATATATATATATAACTGTATAATCTCAATCGTTTGTGACTTCTATCCGTGAGTTACACATAAATAAAGTTAAATATAATATATGATTTAATGTTATTTATAGTTGTTATTGTTAATTACCTTTTTAAAATTTATTTGCTTAATGTTTTAATTTTTATCATTATAATTATTTAAAACATGAAACATTATTTTTATATTTTACAGGTAACAATATAATCATTTATATCGGTTTATTTTTAATTATTTTTATTGTAAATTATTTTAAACTACTTATTTTTAACGATTATAAAGTATTTACAAAGTATTCTTTGGTTTTTCAAGTGAAACTGAAGTTTATATTTAAGTTGATATTGTAATATTATATTTAAATTAACAATTTAAGTATTTTGTCCAAACTGTTCAAAAATTGTAACTTTAAACTGTTAATGATTTACATACAATAACATATTAAATCTAATAAAATAAGTATAATATGTTAAAAGTTAAAGACATGAGTTTATAAGCAGAAGTAAATATATTATTTTAAAATTGAAATTTAGTATATTTATTATTACACTTTAGGTTTGATATTTATTTAACCGTATTAACCAACTTATAATCATTATTAGAAAGACACTACAATTAATCACTTTTAACTATGTATAAAATATTCTTTGCGTTTGTTTAAGTTAAACTAAAGTTTATATTTAAGTTGATCCTATAATATTAATTAATAATTTAAATATTTTATACAAATTATTGTGTCTTTAAAATGTAATGGTTTACATCCAACAATATATTAAAACTAATAAATTAAGTATAATATCTAAAACTTAAAAAAACATAACTTTATACGTAGAAGTAAATATATTATTTTAATATTGAAATTAAGTTTATATATGATTACACTTTAGATATGATATTTATTTAACCTCATTAATCAACTTATAATTTTTATTACAAAGAAATTGAAAAGTCATGGGAGTTTCAAATGAATGTGGTGAAAGAAAAAATGCATGTGAATTTTAAATAAACTGGGAGAATGTCCGCGTGTTGCGTGTGATATAAAAAAATATATTTTATATTAAAAATAGTTAAACCATTGTTGTTAACAATTAAATAATAATTTCATAAAAAATGATTTTTAGTATTGTTATTATGCTGAACTATATTATAAGATATAAGGTTGGAACTTGAAGTTGGTTTGCATATACAAAATTATATGATTAGAATAGAAAAAAATTAATTTTTAAAAATAAATAAATCGTTATTGTTATCTATTAAATAGTAATTTCATATTAAATTAAAATGTTTATATTAAATATTATCATTATGCAGAAAATACGATAATAGAGACATCTTTTTATCTATCTTAAATTTTATCATTTTGTACAACATGATGATAGAAACAATTTTTTTATCTTAAATAGTAAATACGATAATAGAGACATCTTTTTATCTATCTTAAATTTTATCATTCTGTACAACATATGATAATAGAAACAATTTTTTTTATCTTAAATAGTAAAAAAAAATGTTTCGTATCATAAATATTACCATAATTATG